TGGACTGGATGGTTCCAGAAGGGCTCTTTTCCTAGTCATGGGGAGTGGCCGGGGCCTCCACGCCTGTTTACCAGCTGTAGGATGTCTCTTGGCCTCCCTAAGGACTGGGCCCATGGTCTCCAGTTTTGTTGATGCTAGGCTTGGATGACTCCGATGTTTGGAAATGGTTATACGTTGGGATGGTCGCATATCTCAGTAGACAGGGAAATCTCAGACATTTGAGAAGATGGGAAGGCCCTGTACACAGTCAGGGATCTCCCCAGAGCCCAGAGACGACAGAGCCCTCAAGCCCATGAGCCTGGGTTATGGCCGACGTTTTCCTAGTCCTGGCTTGGTCCCAGGGAGGGCAAGGCTGGGGGAGACGGCGGGAGCAGGAAGAGGGAGGCTTGTGGGCCATTGGAGAGGTGAAGGGTGGAAGCTAAGGAGCCCCATTGTCTGCAGGTGTCTTCCTTGGCCTCTGGGTGACCATTGGTCCCAACGAGGTGCCTCTCCTGGTTTCCTTGAAAACATATAAGCTCTTTCCATGGATGTGACAGCTGTTTTATATTACCATAACTTTTTCTTCGGCCTGCCCTGGGGCTTGAACTCGGGACCTGGGCTCTGTTTTTGAGCCTCTTTATGCTCAAGACTAGTGCTCTACCACTTGAGCCACACCGGTGACTTTTTCTGAGTAGTTTATTGGAGATAAGGGTCTCACAGACTTTTCTGCCCGGGCTGGCTTTGACCCATGATCCTCAGATCTCAGCCTCCTGAGTAGCTAGGATGACAGGCGTGAGCCACTGTCATGGGGCTCAGTGTGGTTTAATGTAGCTCTGAGGCAAGGTGTGACTCTGCTAATCAAGTGGGCGTTGGGTTCAAATCATGCTGTGACCATATATGAACTGTTACTGCCCCTTTCCGGCCTCAGGGATCTTAGAAACAGCCCAGCTTTGCTTTAAAGATGAGCCCCTTTCCTGAGGCCAAGTGGAGGGGACCTTTCTGTCATTCCTTTGTACCCACCACTGCCAGGCACGAGTGCTGGGTGCTGGGGTGACAGCAAGGGTTGTCTGAGGAAGAGATCCCATATTGGGAGGGAAGAAAACGAGCATACAGACACGGCGACAATTGCTAGGTTGGGATTCCGCTTATGAGACTCACAGAGAAGTAAAGGAATGTAAGCAGGTGCATCCACCGCTGTCAATCAAACGACTGGGCATTCTCCAGGGCGAAATGGTGGCCTCTCTTCTCTCAGGGGAGTCAGTGGGCTCACCCTCCTGGGCCTAAAGCTACTCCCCCACCTGCAGCCTCATCTCCCCAAATGGAAAAAGCGAACTGGACAGAAGCGGGAATGAATGGCTCATTTGTTCCAAACATCTCACCTGCTTGATATCTCTCCCCACCCCCTCCTCCCTGCCTTTAAATATTTTCCTTAGTTACCTGGGAAATGTTGATTTTTTTTTCTGATTGTAAAACAAATGTCATCACAGCCAAGTTAGTGATCAGAGAACACAGTTGAAGGCAGTCCCCAGAGCCTCTATGCGTCTCCAGCAGAGAAAGGAGAACGCAGCATTCATGAGTCACAAAGCCCCCGGTGCTGTTTGCTTATTGGTAACCAGTGAGTGGAATTGATCCAGTATTCTTCCCTATCTCAGATTCTGTGCTTGGAGGCAAACCAGCCAGTCTGCTGTATGCGGGTTCACTGGGGGTGAAATGAGTTCTGTGGCTGAGGTTGAATGAGACAGGGGAAAGGGGATGCTTGCTGAGGTGGTAGGAGCAAGGACCACCCACCAGCAGCACCTTGAGGCAGGGAAGACTCCCCTGGGCTCTCCTCTGCCCAGATAGAAGCTACTGGATACCGGCCAGGTCTGGGCTCCAAGGTTGACATCCTTGAATGCCCTACGGAATTTGGCAGGATTTCTGGAAGGGGTCGTGGGGGTTTGTCACTGTTTTAGGGGAACTCAGGAGGGTCAGACCCCTCACGGAGGTCCATCCATTCTTCATCGTGTTCCTGGATGGTCTGTGCACTTCCCCTGGGCTAGAGAGAAACTAGGCAGCGCTTGCTTCTGAGACGTAAGCCCATAGAAATACATCCTGTTCATGCTCCGTTTATTCATGTGCTCTATCCGTCTGTCTGTTCATTCCTCCTCCCTTCTTCTCCAACCATCCATCCATCCTGTCATTCATTCTCCTACCTATCCATCCATTTATCTGTCCTTTCATTTATTCTCACATGCATGCACCCATCTATCCATCCATCCATCTTTTCATCCATTCTCCCATCCATCCATCCATCTATCCATCCATCCATCCATCCAACCATCCATCCATCCATCCATCTTTTCATCCATTCTCCCATCCATCCATCCATCCATCCTTCCATCCATCCATCAATCTTTTCATCCATTCTCCCATCCATCCATCCATCCTTCCATCCATCCATCCATCCAACCATCCATCCATCCATCCATCCATCTTTTCATCCATTCTCCCATCCATCCATCCATCCATCCTTCCATCCATCCATCAATCTTTTCATCCATTCTCCCATCCATCCATCCATCCTTCCATCCATCCATCCTTCCATCCATCCATCAATCTTTTCATCCATTCTCCCATCCATCCATCCATCCTTCCATCCATCCATCCATTCTATATTGTATGCCCAGCCCTGTCTCTGCAGTATGTGTAAGCCAGAGCAGTTGTGAAGGTGAGGAAAGCAATTCCTTGTCTTTAGAAGCTTCCATCCCGCGCTAGGATCACATGTAGATGGACGAGGTCTGGTGTCTGTTTACAGAGAAGGTAACACATCCTTTCTTAAGCGAGTGTCTAGCCCTCGGCCTTCATGGCTGGCTCCCATGTGTATCTTCCACGCTGCTATTGATGTCTATTAAGGGTTAGCCCTTCCTCTGTTTTTCCCTGCTGCTCTGGCTAACCTGTTCATTGAAGCAAGGTCTCTGAAGAGATGAGCCCTCGTTGTCTGCCCTTGCTTTTGGGCCATGATTCCAGGCAGTTTTCTTCCTCCTGCAGCCAGCGCCCTGGGTCCAGTCTACCTGATTTTTCTCAGCTGGGCTGCAGGGACGGATCACATCCTATCCTGGGCCTGCCTGCCACCTCCCTGCCCTCCCCCTTGGTGTCCACTCAGGCTTGCTCCTTCTTCCCATTGGCTGGGACACACAGATGGGCCTTGCGTCATCAGCTCTGTGTCCGCCATGCTTTCTGCAGGATGAAGTTTGTTCATGTACATGAGGTTCCTTGTTTTGTTTGGTGTGAAGACCCCAGAGGCCTTCCTGTCTACTCCATGAGCCCTCTTTCCGCAGGCCTTGTCTTGCATGCAGGTGTAGATTCCCTGGGTCTGAGATGCCTCCATTTCCCTCAGGATTACCAAGTGCATGCTATGTTCCATGGGCTCAGTGCTGCCCCCTATTGAAAGATTTACATAAATGGCAGCGGAAGTAGAAGGCCATTGGTAGAGCGGGACCCAACGTGGGGACCTGGGACTGCCAGAGCAGCTTCCACAGTTTCACGGGCAGGGCAGAGCGTTGAGAACACGCCCGCGCCCCACGGGTGTGGGTTTGGGGACTACAGCCACCTCCTTCTCAACTCTGAGGTCTCCATTCTTTCCCACTGAGTCACTTCCTGTCCCCAGGCACCCGGTGCTTTTGTTTATCTGGGTGGGGAAGCTAGGAGGGCGAGAAAGAAGGGGTACAGGTGAGATCAGGGACTGAGGTTGTGCCTCTGTGGCTGCAACTTGAAGGGCAGGATGGGCTGGGTCAGCTGGGGTCTTTCAGGAGCTGTGGTTAGACTATAAAAGGGACAGGAAGAACCCTCGGGTGGATCTGGGTGGCACAGACAGTGGTATCCTGGGGGCCTTAGACCCATTGGGGCTCCCTTTCTGCCCCCCTCCATGAGTCTTGCAACCTCCCCAAGTGACAGTAGTGACTGGACCAGGTCAGGTGATTTGTCTGGTCTCCCTGAGCTTCCCAGTAGAGGGAAGAAAAGGTTCCCCACCCCCCAGAGTGCACGTGTTCTAACAGAAATTAGATATGCCCGGTGTAATGGGGCCGGCTCATTGAAGCTGGCCTGCCTTTCTGTTTGTTGCTTATTTTTGTGACTGTAATGGACTTGAATTCATTCTGGGCCTTGTGTTCTTGTTTGGGATTCAAAATAGTGGGATTTTGTGTGTGTTGGCGGGGTCCTGGGGCTTGAACTTAGGGCCTGAGTGCTGTACCTGGGATTTGTTTTGCTCTAGACTGATGCTCTACCACCTGAGCCACAGCTCTACTTCTGGCTTTTGGTGGTTAATTGGAAGTAAGAATCTTGTGTTCTTTCCTGAGCAGGCTGGCTTTGAACTGCAGTCTTCAGATCTCAACCTTCTGAGTTGTAGCTGGGATTACAGGCATGAGCCGCCAGTGTGGAGCCTTAGGCAGTATTTTTTTTTAAGACATTTTATTGAGTACAAATGTCAAACATTTCACTCACTCACTGGGAAGTGAATTCACTGAATTTCAGTGGTGCCATCACCACTATGAATTGTTTTTTGCCCATCCCAGGAAGAAGCACTGTACCTGCCCAGCCACCTCTCCCTGCCCTGTGGCCCTTGGCAGCCTTCCTGCTCACATGGTTGAGTTGGGGGTAGCAAGATTCATGTGTGAGGAGTGACGTTCTGTAGTCCAGCCAGCACTGTGTACCACTTCCAGTGCTGGCCTGCCCGGTGCCAGCCTTGCCGGCAGCCTGGAGTCTGACGTCATCTGACTGAGAGCAACGTATTGGCCTTCTTCTGTGGGTCAGGCATGGGCTGAATGTTCTGGAATGTTCTAGAATGTTCTGGAAACTTGTCAGCTCAAGTTCATGCACGGTCCTTTTCCAGCTGGAAGGTTCTGAGAGCCATGACCCGGACAGTGAGTTTTCATTTTGATATCTTCTATCAGCTCACTTTTGGATTCACTGGCTTGGTTTGAAGTTGTAGAAACTTCCTAAGCCACTGATGCTAAGCACATGTTTCTTTTCCGTTAGGCATTGAATTCGGCTTTGGGCTGCGGATCTCCAGAAGCAGCTGTGAGGAGCCCCGGCCTTACTCTGGCCTGTGCTACCATGATTCCTTGTGTCATGGGCTCTCTCAGGTAAGTGAAGATCATCTTCCCTTCCTTAGGCCGATCTCACTGAGCAACCTGGGTTGGCCTTGAACTTGTGCTGGAGGATGGAGGCTATGTGTCCCCATACCCAGTTAGGAACCACTTGGGAAGAAGACAGAAAGAAGATGGTGTAGCTCTGTGGTAGCCTAGCATGCAGGGGGCCCTGAGTTTGAATCCCTTCCACTGCAAAGTCAACAGAAAGTCAGGAGAAGAAGAATGGGACATTCCCATTGTCTCTTCAATGGTCTCTTCAAGAAACTGGTCAGGAGGGCATGTGTGCTGCTGGTGTTTCCATCTGATGCATGCAGTAGCTGCTTTTCATGGTTACAATTCAGGAAATCTTCCCTGGGTCCAGGAGCTAGGACTACACTTAGTCTGTTTTTTGTTGTTATTGTTTGTTTTCTGGCTATAGGAGAGATTGAACGTGAGACCCTGCTAAGCAGGTGCTCTACCACTTGAACTACACCCATAACCTCTGTTATCCCTATTTTGAAGATGAGAAATCAGTGCTCTGAGGACTTAGATCACAATGTAGCCTCTTGTGTGGAGTCAGGGTACGGGAGCTGTAGTTCATGTTGTTGTCATTGCTTACAGACTTAAAAAAAAAAAAAAAGCCAATATAGGCTGGGTACTTGCAGCTCACACCTGTAATCCTAGCTACTCAGGAGATTGAGATAGGAGGATCACATTTCAAAGCCACCCCCCACCCTGGGCGGGGCAGGGGGCGGAGCTAACAAATCTGTAAGACTCTAATTTACCAGCAAAATGCTGGAAGTGGAGGTGTAATTCAAGTGGTGGACCACCAGCCATGAGCAAGAAAAACTGAATGAGAACATGAGGCCCTGAGTTCAAGCCCCAGTACCAGCATTAAATAAATACATTGACAGATAGATCCATCAATCAATTCGTCAAAGCCAAAACAGACTCTTTAAAATTCTTCAATCACAATTTGCTGTAAAGTCTCAGGATAGACAGAAGTCAAAGGCTGTGTTTCCTGGGTAGAAATGTACTGAGTTCAGACTCTGTGAGAGCCCTCTATCTGCTAGATCACTCCCTTGTGTGAAGTCGGGTGTCTGGGGGGGCTGCTTGTACATTCACCTCCACCCTGACTTCCTCTGCCTTTCCTTTGGCTATGTTGTCTTCTGAAGGTCTTAACCCACAGGAGAGAGAGCCTTGGGGTCTTGGGATGGTCCTTAACTTAAGCTGATTCAGAATCTGGAAAGAAAGCAGAAAGAGTTTCCTCTGGTTCAAAGGTTGCATTACTTAAGGTTACTGTGTAGTCTTTTGTTCTTTTCTTCCCTAACTAACTGTACATTAGCCGAAATGCCTGGAACTCAGGCAAAAAAAACCAAGCAGCCTTGGACAAGGTGCCACAATGTGGTCACAATGGGTAATTGCCTGGGATGCCCTTGGTCCCCTCCAGGCGCAATGGACCTGCCCCAGTGTCTGCTTTAATGTGCGCTTGTCTTAGAATTGGATTTGAGTGGATTCATGCAGATCTGAACCCCAAACTCACTCTGAGATCTGCCAAGCCACCGAGCAGGCAGGCGAAGCTCAAGTTCAAAGCCATCAGGAGGTGTCTGGAGCGCAGATCTGCCCATCTACCCATCTGCCCCTTCAAGGCACATGTGTCCTTTCTGATCTAAATTAGCATGTGTGTGTGTGTGTGTGTGTGTGTGTGTGTGTGTGTGTGTTTAAGACTGGAGTTCACACAAACATTAAGAAACCAGGTAACTGTGCATCTAGCTTGCAGAAGCCCCCAGATACCAAGTGAGAATTGTGATGGGCCACTCACCCAAAACACTTCAAGACCCCAACCTGTCACAGCCTTGGGCCCCCGTGCGGGCAGAGCAATGGCGGCCACAGCCAGAGGGCCCTGTGCTGACCAAAGCAGCACCGTAGCTGTGGGCACACTGTGTGGCCATGGGCATACTGCATGGGGTTCCTTGCCAGGGCCTCTCTGTCTGGGAATTGTGGCGAATGCACTGCATGCCACCAGGTGATCTCCTATAAGAAACTCCTCTTCCTCTTCCTTTTCCTCCTCCTCCTCCTTCCCCTCCTCCTCCTTTTCCCTTCTCCTCCTCCTCCTCCTCTTCTTCTCCTCCTCCTCTTCTTCTCCTCCTCTTCTTCTTTTCCTCCTCTTCTCTTCCTCCTCCTCTTTCTCCTCCTCCTCCTTTTCCTGCTGTTCCTCCTTCACATCCTCTTCCTCCTTTCCTTCCTTCTTCTCCTCTTCCTCTTTTCCTCCTTTTCCTTCTCCTTCTTCTCTTCCTCCTCTTCTTCTTCCTCTTCTATTTTGGTGCTGCTAGTGTTTGAAGTTAGGGCCTTGTGCTAAGTGCTACCACTTGAGCCATGCCTCCAGCCCTTTTCCACTTTAGCTGTTTTTCAGGTAGGGTCTGTTTTTGCCTGGGGCAAGCCTAGGAACACCCACCTCTGCCTCCATGTAGCTGGGACCACAGATGTATGTCATCATACCCGGCCTATTTGTTGAGTTGAGGGCCTTTGTCAACTTCTTGCCTTGGCTGGCTCCAAACCTCAATCTTTCCCCAGCACAACCACCAGAGTACCTGGATTATAGGCGTGAGCCGGCACACCCAGCCACGCTCTGGAATCTTGACAGGCCTCCAGCACTGGATCCTGCCAAAGCAATTGTTGGAACACGGCCACTCAGAGTACTTTGCCAGGACTCCCGCTGTCCTTTCAGAAAGAAAACGAGTTAGGTTGGGCCATGGCCTGGGATTGCTCCTCTGCAGTCTCTCTCCAGGTGCACACGAACCTCTCCATCTCTCTTCCTGGGCCCATGTGCCTATGCTTTAAGAGACACAGAAACAACATCACTGGGTCTTTTATTTAAATGCTTTGCAAAATAGGCTAAGAGAAAAGAACGTGATTACTTTAAGACTGAGAGGTCTTTGACAAAATTGTTGGATGAGAAACACACACACACACACAGAGTAAGGGATTTTTAAATAATCATCAGAGTGACTAGATACGTGGAGATTAATTGGAAAAGCTGCAGACTCTCTCTCTCTCTCTCTCTCTCTTTCTCTCTCTCTCTCTCTCTCTCTCTCCTACCCCTCCTTTCTGATAGAGAATCCAGGTTGCAGTAAGTAAGCCATCAGGAAAAATCCTAAGAGGGAAAGAGAGTGTTGGGGAGCAGGAGAGAGGCGTTCACAGCTCCATGCACAGAGGACATTTAAAAATCCCTCCCCAAGTTTTGTCTAGCCACAGAGAAAAGAAAAGAAAACCAGTTTCCAGCTGGGCACAGTGGCTCATGCCTATAATCCTAGCTACTCAGGAGACTGAGATCTGAGGATCACAGTTTAAAACCAGCCTGGGCAGAAAATGTCATGAGACTCTTACCTCCAGTTAATCACACACACACACACACACACACACACACACACACACACACAGCTGGAAATGGAGAAGCAGCTCAAATGGTAGAGTGCCAGCATTGAGCAAAGAAGCTAAGGAACAGCGTCCAGGTTCTGAATTCAAATCCTAGTACTAACGCACACACACACACACATTGAGACTGACCAAAGTGTAAACTAAAACATGTTTGTCATCTCGTGCAAGGCAGATAGATCATATGCAAAGCTAAAGGGAACTGAAGTGCTTGTGTTTGTTCAAGACTTGCTCCAGATCGCCCCCTTCTTTCATGGACTCAGTGGTGTGTTTGCGTCCAGTGACTGACTGACCAGAAGAGACAGAGCAGTGGGTGACCATGGCCCTGGAGCCTGGAGCCACTGCCCCATGATGTTTATTTACCACGGAGTTTTGGAGATTTGCATGGGGCAGATGTAGTTTATGTTTCCAAGGAAACACAGACAGAAACACAAGTCCTGAGAGCCAAAGAGCCGGTGAGAGCGGCAGGGAAGTAAATTGATTTGGCCATTTTTATTTTGAACGGTAGTTTTTGAAGAAATACAGACATAATTAGCGCGATTACAGGGCGAGGTGCTGATGTTTATAGGTCTCAGGAAGGAGACTTCTGGATCGTTTTAAGTCGATGGCCTTAGGTCAAGTGTCTGCTTCCAGTCTTTGAAAACTGAAGGTTTTCCCTTTCCTCGATGTATTCCTCTGTAAAATATTATTAGCTTAATGCCTGCCAGTCATTCCACTTGCAAATGCAACCACGAGAGAATGAGGAAATGAGAGAGAGAGAGAGAGAGAGAGAGAGAGAGAGAGAGAGAGAGAGAGAGAGAGGGAGGGAGGATGATTGCTCTCAGCCATGGAAAAAGACCCCAAAGACCACAAGGAGGAGAGAAAGGATGAGAAAATGATTTTGCATGTGTGAGAACTTCCGGGCAGTAACACCTGAGTGCCATTACTGAAAACAGAGGACCAGTTGTCCCCTGGGGAGGAAGGTCCTGCGGTCAGTGTCCCTTTGCCAGTGAGCACAAGATGGGGAGGGAGAGGAGGAGGGAGGAAAGAGAGGGAGGAGGTGGGGCCCAGGTGGCTTCGATACTGAACTTCCCTGCATCATTAACACAGTCTATAGCTCCCAGAGCAGCAGCGCCGCTTCCTAGCTGATGCTGGAAATTTTCTGTTGCACACTGAGTGCATGAATTGAAACTTACTTTTGTGTGTGTATGTGTATATGTGTGTGTGTGTGTGTGTGTGTGTGTGTGTGTGTGTGTGTGTGTGTGTGTGCCAGTCCTGGGGCTTGAACTCAGTGGCCAGGCACTGTCCCTAAGCTTTTGTGCTCCAGGCCTATGCTCTACCACTTGAGCCACAGTGCCACTTCGGGCTTTTTGGTGGTTCATTTATGATGCGTGTCTCACAGACTTTCCTTCCCCAGGCTGGCTTTGAACGATGATCCTCACATCTCAGCCTCCTGAATAGCTGGGATGACAGGCCTGTGCTACCATATCTGGCTTCAATGTTGCCTTTTATGTGTAGGAAACAGGGCAGACATTTTCCCTTTGCTGACCTAGATGGCTGGGGGGGGGGCAGAGGTCAGAGGTCAGTGACCACCGCTGGGCGGCTGCACCCTGTCAGTACTGAGATGGAACTTAAATAAAGCATTTGGTGCGCGGCCAGGCACTCTTCTTGGAGCCAGAAACCAGGACTAGGTGGGGTTCAAACCACACCCACCATCATGACCTGACGGTTTCCACTTGGGGTCCCCTGGAGTGGGGTGGGAATTACAAGGTAGTCTGAGCACAGATCAGTCTAGATTTTTGTATTTTTTTTTATTATTTTTGCCCCTAATCACTCACAGTTGTCTCATCAACACCTAATTTCCCAGCAGGGGCCCCCCCGCCCCCCAACTTACTCTTGGCTTCCTGCCTTTACCGAGTCTTTCCAGAACACTCAACTTCATTTTTGGGTAAGTGGTGAGGTGCCTTTCGTTCTGTACCCTGGAAACGAGCAAAGAGAGCCGGGCATTTCACGTCACTAACAAGGTTTGCGCGTTGGCGCCCACAGATGTGGGAGTGTGCGCTGCAGGATTTGAACACAGCTCCTCTGGCTTGGGAAGAGACTCTGGGGTGGGGGGGGGCAGAGGTAGGAGGAAAGGAAACTATTTTCTGGATGGCTTCCCTGGTAAACGCTCACCTATAAAATGACGACAGGCGCGCAGACAGCATTGATTTTTCTCTCTGCCTGGCACAGCCCCGTACCAGGCCCCCCGTCCGCAGCACTCAGAATTTGATGGTGGATTTGCTGGTACATTCCGTTCCAGGATGAGCTGGCGATCACTGCCAACTACCCCTCCTGACAGCCCAGATGGATTTATGTGCTTCAGATGGGCCCTCCCTGCCTTCTCTGGGGGTTAGAACCGATGGCTCCAATTTGTAGAAATCTTCCCATGAGGACTGCCTTTCCTTTCTCCAGCTCATCTATGTTTCCAGTAGGGAATTCTGGGAAACACTTAACATGTTCTGGTCACAGCGTCTCTTTAGTGAGTATTTCTCTCCCTCCCTCCCTCCCTCCCCCATCCTCCTTCCTTCCCTTTCTCTTTCTCTCTCTTCCCTTCACTCCTTCTATGCTTCTATCCTTTTATTCTCTCAGTCCTTACGAGTCCCCAGAATGGACCAGATTGTGAGGATGGTTCTACTAACTAAAAGTGTATCAGAAGCCATTTTCTCAGGAAACCTTGTCCTCGGTGACTCACGCCTGTAACCCCAGCTCCTTAGGAGACTGAGATCTGAGGATGTGGCTCACATGGTAGAGTATCAGCCTTGAGAGGAGGGAGGGCAAGCTAGATCTTAAGGCCCTCCCTGAGTTGAAATCCCTGCCCTAAAGTCTGAGGTTCACTGTGTCACGGAGACAGCTGGTTCCAAGACCAGCAGCTTTTGCAGCGCAGGACATGGTGTCAGACAGTGCTATCCTCCAGCAAGAGAAGAGAGAGAGAGAGAGAGAATGTGTGTGTGTGTGTGTGTGTGTGTGTGTGTGTGTGAACATGGCTATTTTAAAGGAAAAAGGTAAAAATTTGTAAAGGTAAAAATTTCTTTGGTTACCTTTATTTATTTTGAAATTCCCGGGGTCCTTTAGTGAGGCTGGGTAAAGAAGGCATTATATCCAAGGATTCTTGCAAGCCATGGCAGAAAATAGGACTGAGAGAGATCGAGAAAGACATGGGGTTTGTAAGAGTCAGAAAGAGGCCCAGAGTTCAGCAGTTGGGGGCCAAGGCTCTGGTGCTGGCCTTCAAAACCAGGCTTTGCTACTTGAGTGGATGTGTGTGCTCTTCTGTGCACGAGCTCGTGTCCCCGTGCCTCAGTTTCCCCACCTGCACCCTGGCTGAGAAGCTAAGGTGAAATGCTGCCTATGAGCAGGAGGTCAACAGGAGCCCTCAAATCTTATTGAATTTTGGTTATTGTGGGTTGTGACCTGACTCCGTCCCAGTGATGTCAAGCTGACCCAGCTAAAAATGCGAAAGTCTGTTATCTCCTGGATGTATTTGGGAGGGGTTTTGCTCTAATGCAAAACCATTCTCTGGAGAGAATGGTGTCACCAGATCAGCCATCAGAATAGCCTTGTGTTGTATTAACTAAAGAAATGAACTTGCTTTTTTCTTCTCTGTCTCTCTCTGTCTCTGTCTCTGTCTCTGTCTGTCTCTGTCTGTCTGTCTGTCTGTCTGTCTCTGTGTGTGTGTGTGTGTGTGTGTGTGTGTGTGTGTTAAAGTCAGCTCTACCACTTGAGCCACACCTCTACTTCTGGCTTTTTGGGTGGTTCATTGGAGATAAGAGTCTCATGGACTTTCCTGCCCAAGCTGGCATTGAACTGCGATCCTCAGATCTCAGCCTCCTGAGTAGCTAGGATGACAGATGTGAGCCACCAATACTCGCATAAGTTGCTCTTATAGATTATTTGAAATCTTCCAAAGTTACTTTATTTCTACCAGTTCCACTTGGCTTGGAATTTCAGAGGCCCTGGGGGTGGTGATGCATCATTTATTAATTCATTTATTAACTTCCTTCTGAGAAGATCCGTTCCTCCCTGGCAGGCTGAGCCCCAGCACTCGGTGGGGGAGGGAGTGCTGGAATTACTGCTCCCCACTCCCCGTGAGGGCTGTGAGGAGCTGAGTGCAGCAGGCTTATGCTGCTGCTGTTTGTTTTAAGGAAACCACGCCGACCTCATTTCTTTTTCGGTGAGCACCAAGTGCCACTGTGATACAAATGGCTCAGGTTTTGTACATCATTTCCCAGGTGTTAGCGCCCACCTGGGAGGCAGGAGGGCAGGGTGTAAGTCTACATTATAGGTTGGGAAGCAGAGGCAGGGGGTGAGAAGGTGATTTGCTCAAGATCCTCCAACTTGGGAGTGGGTCAAAAGTCTCCCTTTCGGTTGTTAGGAAGTTCCAGCCAACACTGAACTGGGCAGAGTGGCTAGCTACTAGAGAGGCATAAGTAGGAGGAACCTTGCTGGAGGCTGACCCTGGGGAATGGCAAGACTCTTCTATCTACTAACTAGATAGATAGATGGATGGATGGATAGATAGATAGATAGATAGATAGATAGATAGATAGATAGATAGATAGATAGATAGATAGATAGATAGATGGATAGATGGATAGATGGATAGATGGATGGATGGATAGATGGATGGATAGATAGATAGATAGATAGATAGATGATAGATAGATAGATAGATAGATAGATAGATAGATAGATAGATAGATAGATAGATAGATAGATAGATCAGAAAAGAGCTGGAGGCATGGTGCTGGGCTAGAGTACCTGTTTAGCAAGTTCAAAGCCCTGAGTTCAAGCCCACCCCCCACCCCTTCCCCAAAAGTTCAAAAGCAACTTGTGTGCAGGTTGTGTGTTTGGGTTTTATTGGTGCATGCTTCCTGTGTTAGTTAAGAACTGTTGGGACGAACTGGGGACTCAGTACGTCGTGGTGGAGCCCGTGCGGTGACCCACACAGCTCTGTGCTTCTGCGCACTGGACACAACAGCACCACCGTTACAGAAGACACCACTGGGCAGCAGCGGTTCTACCCATGGCCACATGAGACCTCGGAGGGTCAGGGACAGGCAGGGTGGTGTGGGGGTCCCTCAGGAGGGCTCAGAAGCTTGCTTTCCCCCCTCTGAGGTCCACCAGGCTGAGGCCCATGCTGAGAGTCAGCATCTGTGGTTGTGTCAGGTTTAGAGGGACTGAGGTGATGAAGCCTGAATTTGATCCCTGCCCTAGCCAGGCTACCCCCCCTCCCCCAGGCCATGAGGCCTCGCTGCGAGTATACTCACAGCCTGTCTGCCTCTGTTTCTCCTTCCCAGTGCCCTGGGTGCTCTCCTGCTGCTTGCATGCCAGCTCGTCTGCCCACAGCCCTCCACTGAACACAGAAAGGTAAGTCGAGGCCCACAGAGCTTTTCCTTCTTGGATAGAGGGACCGCTGGCTCACGGGTCAATTCTAAGATCTTTGATTCACTATGGTTGGTTAGGAGTAGAAAATTTTCCAAGTCAGGCACCAGTAGCCTACACCTTGTCATCTCAGCTACTTAGGAGGCTGAGTTCTGAGGATCATGGTTCAAAGCCAGCTTGGATAGCTGCAATGAACCAGTAAAAAAAACAGGAAATAGATCTGTGGTTCAAGTGGTAGAGCACCAGCCAGTCAGACAGTGAAATTCTTTGTGCACTGTATGTCTGTCATGCCTCAATTCAAATAAGTGGGAGGAAGAAAGGAGGAAGTCAGGGAGGAAAGGAGAGGCTGGGCAGGAGAGGGGGGCTGAGGCACAGCACAGGGCATGCTCTCAAGAGCAGGCCCAGCCCTGGAGCTGTGCAGAGCTGGAGGCTGATTCTAGAGCGGGCCTGACTCCTCCTGCCGGTGTTTGCCAAGCCTGTTTCCAATGGTCTGACTATAACTTCCTGCTTCTGCAGCATGAGGAGTATTTCTACTTAAGTGAAATAAGGGAGTATTAAGGAAAACAAAAACCAAAACCTCATCAAGGGAAACATTTTAACTAACTGGGGTTATGCTTGACCTCTGGGATTCATATCCAATGGTAAAACAACCGAGTTTGCATCTACTGAGAAAGGAGTGGTGGGCTTAGGACACAGTGTTTACAAAGCTCTTGTTTGGCGGTACAGAAAGGGCATGTCCAGGGAGCGTCATGTTTGTCCTGGCATCTTAGCTCTTCTGATACAGGCCTCTGGGCCTGCTTTCTCCTGTGGGAAGAAGGCACATGCTGCCAACCTCCCAGATTGCGCCAGGTCTGCCTCCCTCCCCAGCCTTGTGGAATCTCCTGGTCTCTTCCATGGAGGAGCATTGGCCCTCTTGATGTTAGGTGGATACCAAGAAGACTGGAAGGAAGTCATAGCCCTGGACCTTCCCATCATGGCGACTCTGCCCTTCCCAACATGGCGGCTTTGCCCTTCCCAGCATGACAGTCCTGCCTGGCGCATCATAGCAGCTCTGACCTTCCCAGCATGGCGCCTCTGCGTGAGACTTTTGCCTTTTCAATCCCTCTATCTCTGGACTGTGGGAGGATTTTTTTTTTCCTTGTAAGAAAGCTCTAAACCAAGAAATGAAATACAAAGCCGGGTGCCAGTGGCTCACACCTGTCATCCTAGTTACTCAGGAGGCTGAGATCTGAGGATCACGGTTCAAAGAGAGGAAAGTCTGTGAGACTCTTATCTCCAATAAACCACTAGAAAACCGGAAGTGGCGCTGTGGCTCAAGTGGTAGAGCGCTCGCCTTGAGCTGAAGAGCAGAGGGACAGCGCCCAGGCCCAGAGTTCAAGCCCCACGACTGATAAAAAAAGAAAAAGAAAAAAAGAAATGAAATACTAGGTGGCCCTAGCACTTGGGAGACTGAAGTAAGAGGATCCCTTGAGCCTAGGAGTTTGAGACAGCAGACCCTGGGCACATAGCCAGACAAGTGTGTGTGTGTGTGTGTGTGTGTGTGTGTATCTGTGTGTGTGTGTAAGATGAAGAAACATCTACCAAACAAACATCAATCACTAGAAAGCTGGGATATCTCTAGTGACGATATTAGAATCAGACAAAGCAGACTTCAAGTCAGGGACTCTGACTGAATAAGAAGGACATTAAAAATAAATGCTACTGTTGATTTAAAAAAAGAATTACCAGCAACCCTCAAAATCTTGGGTTACAGATTATGTTTGAGAAGATGCTAAGTGCTGTCAGAGGATGCAGACTTGGGCTGAAGTACTGGGGAAACTGAGGCTGCCGTACCACCGTTTTAAAAATGACACACGTTGGGATTTTAGCCTGCTTCTCTCTCTTTTTCTTTCTCTTTCTTTCTTTC